TCTGAAGCTTTCCTTCTATATATGAATAATCTATGTCAATATCCTTCAGGATCACATTTCTCTCTATTTTCAGTTCACCCATTTCGTCGTACTCGTTTTTTCCGTAACATAGTTTCGACTTATAGGATGGAAAAAATAGCAAAACCAGTTGCTGTTCCAGGAGAGGAGATGTCGAAGTCAGAATCGGCCTCTGAATATGAGATTCAGTACCGGTCGACGATCCAACCGAGGACTGCCGTCAGATCGCAGTCCCGGCAGAGTGGAAACTACGTCTCCGGCGGAGCCGGTGGCGGCGGCGGTGGTGAGCGAATTCCAATCATTCAATTTTTCGAAAAAAAATTTACAAAAAATTGGCCAGTCTTAACAAATCAGCGAATCACATGCCGCATGAGAAATATACCTTTATGACTGCTGATGAGTGAAAACTTTTGGTGATAGTTAACAGATTCAAAACGATTTTTTTCTTCAAAATTTCTACAAGTGTTCCTGCCGCTATGGGGTGTGGCCGAGACATGGTTTGGCCTTGTCCTTAAAATTTGCGAGACGCTCGGAAAGAAACTATCGCTTCTAAATTTCGACGCTACGAACATCTCGTACTGAATAATGACTGACCTTGATTTGATGTGTGCGATGTCTACTTAGCAATCGTTTTCGACCTGATTTGGTTACGCCCGAAATGTGTGGATTGTTTGTGCTAATTAGATGCTGATTACTTAGTCATAGAAAAAACGAGCATCGTTAATCGCAGTTAGAGAAATTCTGTCCGTAGCGTCTGCTCCTGTGACGAGAATAGAATGTAAATGAGTTTGCCTGAAAAAATGTTCAGATAGCTCAATAACTCCTTCAAAATCGAAACGGTCATAAAATCATTTGACCACCAAAGAATATCTTACGAGAAATGCAATGGAGAGGAATTTTATAGCTCAAGATCATTGGCATAGAACGATTCTCACATCATTACCCGACACACTTATTCTCATGGTTAATATAAACCTTTAGTCCTGAATACATTTATTAGCGAATTTTATGTACATTAGCGCTATGAGCATCGTACGGGTA